ATATTTTCTATACTGCCTGGAAATGTTTATAGATTCTGCCATTTCATAATTTAGGGTTGTGATTTTTTTTTCCTTTTTTTGTATTTTTCCCCCAATTTGGCATAGTTTGTGAGGAGCTGTACCAATAGCAGCCTTTTAGTGCTCTGCTTGAATTTATCCTCTAAGGTGAGCAGTCAACTGCTTTGTCATGGTCAGTATGCCACTTTCAGGTAGTGGCAGACTTCAGTTTGGGGATACCTGACATTTTTGTATATTGAGTCCCTTGCTGTCTCCAAGTTAAGCTGTGTGGTCTCTTTCCTTGCTTATTCTAGGATTTACTGATTTCTATTAACACGTTTTTGCTTCCATTGCCATCAAGTTTGTGCAATTATGTTTTTCTTATTGAACCAGTATTATTAGGAAGTTTAATTGTCTATGGTTTTCAAAAGTAAAAGCTGATTTGAAGATCTGTATTACTGTGGTGTAGTATTAGCACCTGTTTTTATACTTAACAGTGGAATGATTTTAAGTTTTTTTGAGTACGTTCCATATTTACCTTGTCACACTGTTTCTGTTACAGTCTTGGAACCTATTACACTTAGAATTGAACCACCAAGGTCAACCATAGGTAACGATATTTTCTTGGCAAGCTGTCGTTGTTTGCTTTTTTCATCACAGAAAACATCACTGAAGTTAATCACCTTATGCCTTAGGATTTTTTCATTGTCATTCATTAAACTTCACTTTTTCTTCTAGGTAATTCTCTTGCTTAGCACTCATGACAGTTGGGCGTATTGCTCTCTTCACGATTGAAATGTCTCCTTTTTTTAAAAGAAAATGATGCTGGCAGCTCTGGATCACCTTTCTCATAATTGTGCTTGTCTGTCCTTGTCCCAGCTTTTTATTTCAAAAAATAAAACCTGAGCTTCAAAAATTACTAAAATTCTACTCCCTTGCTTAGATTGTTGTAAACACATGGAGAGTGATACCTGAGTTTCTTTCCTACTTCCTATAAAGAAACTTTTTTTCTCTGTTGCAGGTGTGAAGTTTCTGTGTTTGTGTGTTCAAGTTGATATCAGATACTAATTGATGTGCAATTTAACCAACTTATTACCCACATTTTCTCTTCCAGCTCCAAAGGAGACTCCACGTATTCCTTCTAAACCTAAAACTTCACCCAAACCTCATATCCCACAAGTGAAAGATGGTAAACTACTTTGTGTGATTATTTCTAATACAGTTTATATTGGAATGAAACTTATTTCTGAGCAGCTTTTTAGTTATCTGAGCTAATTAAAACATAATGGGGTTCTGTTCTGCTGTGTGTTCAGTGATTTATTTGCAGTTTTCAGGAGTAGTAAAATTTGCTAGGTATTTTTCATTGTGCAAAAGAATAAATCTCTGCTACTTCATGGCAGCAGGATGAGAATATTGTTGTTAAACTCAGACTAGAGTGGTAAATGAAGCAAATACCTAGAAATTAAAGTATGTATTATGGCTACTTAGGTGGTACAATTCTTTCCCACATTGCTTTGCTTTGTTAGTATAAATACATTTCCCTTTCAAGTCACAATTACTTAATTTCATGACATTATTATTATTTTCTGCATGAACAAGTAAGTTACCCAGTGCATAGTTGCTATTTGTTTATAAATATTAATATTTATTAGCATTAGTGATCATTTACACTGTATTCCAAAATACTGGATTTTTATACTATGCCATTAAATGTGAGTGCAGTTGAATTCAGTGGTAGGCAGAAAAAATGACTGTCTGTCCTCTGCTATCCAGTTGGTAATATCAACAGAAAATTACAAGGGTATCAAATATTAACATATGTTATCTTTTGATAAATGTGAAAAATTTCATGATAGTCACTTTAGTGAAGATATTTAAATTGTAGACATGGAGCAATATTCTTGAAATCTGATGTTATGTATTAGATATGATTTCCTCATGTAGAAAACAGCCCAAATCCTGTTCTCTCTTAATTTTTTTAACCATGGCAGTTCATCATAAAACATTGTTTCAAAACTACAACTTAAAATGCAGCTTCTCATAATCTCAGTTTTTACCTCCATGACCATTTTTCATTATTATGGTAGTCTGGCCTTCTCAAAAAAATGGTTTTGTCGCACAAATGTTACAGGTTTGTACTGTTCTGTGGGGTTTTTTTAAAAAAAGTTACTGTTTCTTCAACAATCTGTAATGTACAGAACTTTTTTTACAGCATCATCCACATTGTCTTAAAAGATCCAGAGAATTTTTTTGTTGTTGTTGTCACCCATACAGAAGAATTAACACAGGGAGTGATACCATTTCTATTGTGCCTCTGTTTCTAATGTGGGAAATGCAAGGAAAATACCAACAATTTCACATCCTTATGCCCCTTAAATACTCGGTTTTATTTTAGATCCATACCAGTTTAGAGCTGAAGTATATGATCATGCAATGCAATACACCATAATGCTCTTTAATAATACAGCATCCAGAAAACAAGCAAATGGTCTCTGATTCCAATTGTGTATATAAACTGCATTTGAAACACCACAAAGGGAAGAGATTCGTGCCCCTGAAAAGCCATTTTCTGAATAAGGGAGTGATACATATTTGGGTATCTCCTTGAAGCCTATGAGAGAACTAAGCTCACATTATGTTTCAGCTTACACTGCTTTCTCAGAGACTTCATTTAATATAACAGGTTTTTTATGAGACGTTATACATAGTATATAATTCAAAATGCAGTTACTAGACAAGTATTACTAATTGTAAGTGGCGTTATTCTCTTCAATTTTTGTAATAGCTTTTATGTTTTGTTTCTGATACAGTCCTGGAATCTAGAACACTTAGAACTGATCAAGTAAAACCAACAATAGGTAACAGTTTTACCTATAGGGCCTATCACATTTAGCTTTTTTCTCAGTATACACCGAGCATCACAAGTACATCTTCGTTGTACTCCACTGTCATAATTTTTTACTATTAAATTTAGTCCTTCTGTAAATTTTTCTTTTTGTCATTCTACACTAACAATTCATAATCATCTTGTTTGGTTTTTCTCACACAAATATGTTCTGTAAGGTGGATGGAAGTGCCACAATGTACCTATGTGTGTCTAAACTCAGTTTCTGACATGCGCTACTTCATCTTTTACACTGGTCCATCCATACTGGCCTTGCTTTGTGTTATCCTGTTACACAGGTTCTCCATGAGCACTGTTTCTTTGTGTACCAGACATTCATACTTCTCCATTACTCATACAAGCTTTTAGTGTTTCCAGAGGGTCCCAAAGGCATGTGTTCTTTTTTAATCTTATGCCTTCTGTCAGTCTCAGTTCTTGAAAGAATTTAATAGTTGCTTTTTTTTTTATTATTTCAGTTCCAAAAGAAACACAGCGTGTCCCCTCCAAACCTAGAACATCACCAAGCTCAGAGGTGCCACAAACCAAACCTGGTAAGTACGTTGTTTCTGTATTTTATCATACTGATATGTGTGTCTTATGAATTCTGCTGTGATCAGTGGAGCTTCAGATTTATATGTATCCCTTGGGCTTGTATGTTGGAGTATACCTTGAGGGATAAAATCCAGTATCACATGTCATGATGTGGAATTTATAAGCAGCCTGGTAAGCTTAAAATCTCTATCTTCAATTCTTTTTTACATTTTAAGTCACTGAAAGACTGGGCATTTTCTGTGCAGTTGTCAGTGAAAATAGCTCTGTTCTGTATGAATTTGCTTGGGTTTTGGGAAAGTGAAGGTGAAAGGAGTGGTGTCATTGCAAAGAGGAAGGGTTTTTTTCTGTATTTTTCAAATTGTGTGCTTGTTTTTTCTTTCCCAGGCACAATCATTCTTTTATACTTTACAGTTCACTTTTGCACAGCCCTTATGTTGTTCAGAGATTTAAGAATGTGTAATACTTTCTATAATATTGTTTACATAGCTTGGTATAGAGCAATATACAACCCTGGGCTAATTAAGGATGGAGGAAGAAAGTCATACAACTCACAGTAGCAATTGCATTAGGTACTGTGGGGCGTTGACCCTGTCCAGCAACTGAGCACCCACTAGCCACTTGCTCATTCCACCTTACAGTGGGGTGGAGGAGAGAATCAGAAGAGCAAAAGAGAGAAAAAAAAATCATAGCTGAAGATGAAGACAGTTTAACAAGTGAAGGATAAAAAGAGGGGGGAAAAAACAAGTGATACAAAGGCAACCACACACCACATCCCACTAGCAGACCAATGACAGTCTAGGAGCAGTGAGTCCTTTGGAAAGTTTTGTTGCTAGGCATGACATTATATGAGATGTAATATCTCTTTGGTCAGTTTGGTTCAGCTGTCCTGGCTGTGTCCTCTCCTAGCATCTTGGCCACCCCTAGCCTACTCGCTTGGGGGCAGAATGAAAAACAAAGTAGTCGTCGATGCTGAAGAGTGCTTGTTACAGCAATAGCTAAAAAACTGGTGTGTTATCAACACTGTCTTGATCACAAATCTAAAACAGAGTACCACAGGGGCTGCTATGAAGAAAATAACTCTACCCCAGCCAGACCTAGTATGGGTATCCAAGGTATATGCGACATTAGATACTGCTGCTGGAGAAATGGGCAGAAAGATTACAACTAAAATTCCTTTTGCCCCTGCTAAGTCTGTACCTATTGTTTGAATCAAAACCTTGTCAGAAAGGTTTAAATCAAAACCTTCTGTCAGGAAGGTGTACAAAATTGAAGGTGAAAAACCACCCACAATTTCTTTGTGGCTTATTATGAAAGCTTCAGATGTATATTTGGGCTCTGTTCTGTAATAGAGCTATTGCCTTGAACAGGAGGCAATTCTGAGCAGCATAACACTCTGACCTGTTGAGTTTCAAGGAGGAGTGACCATCTGTCATTGGCTGTAGCAGGGGTGGTACGATCATTGTGGAGGTAGTGATTGTAATGTTTTGATTGTTCTTGGTAATACTTGTTTTTTGTCACACTAATGCAGTCCTGGAACCAATTACGTTTAGAACTGAGAAACCAAAGTCAACAGTAGGTAATGATACTTTCTTACTTGAATAGTCATGTTGTCTTTTCTCTTCAACACAAATCATTAAGAGTAGATCTGCAAACATTTGTCACCCTTCTTTGTATGTGCCTTAATAATTTAACAGTCAAGATTCTTCGTCTCTTATTTTCTACAAAACAATTGAGGAGGACCCTTGTGCCTTTCAAGTTGTTATGCACATAACATAGGGCAATTTCCTTCAATATTTAATGATAAGAAGCAGAGGGCAGATCAGAACAGGGATCCTAACTTACATGTTCTCAGTCATACTGTAGAGGTGGCACTGTTCTAGTTAGTCATATTGCTTGGGTGAGCAGAGCTCCATGCTGCAAGTTTTGTTTCTCTGTTTCCCTTCCCCTTCAGTTTTGCTAAATGAAATTCAGTCCTTCATAGAGGTCTGAAAAATAATTCTGTTTCACTCAAACCTTAGTTCCACTATCAGAACGGAATCATTTCAGTGATCTTTAGGTCATATGACTCCTTGAAGCAGATCCATTTGACTAAGGCATTTTTATCATTTGAATCTGGTACGGTGAATCATTCCAGTAGAACCTCCATTACAGAGCAGTGATGTCTTTGTATTTGAAGCTACTTATTTTGTTTTCTTCTTATTTTTTAAGTCCTCCTTTTAAATAGAACCAGTAGTTCTGTCACATACTTAGTTGATGATATGTAATAGAAGACTATTTCTTTTCTCTATAGTCTGATTTTGTTAAAAAAAACCTTCTCTTTTGCATCACTTCCACAGAATATCTTTGGTTCAAATCTTTGCTCTGTTTTTCTTGACTGTTATGGGTGGTAGCAGGCACTGATACCTTGGAAAATTTTAGTACAGTGTAACCCAGTTTCTTTCTTTCAGCTCCTAAAGATACACGTCATGGGCCTTCCAAACCTAAAACATCACCCAGTCCACGTGTTCCTCCAACTAGAGCAAGTAAGCGTATCAATATTTTGCCCTTTAGTGCATGAAAGTTTTATCAGTTTGAAAAATGTCAAAATTGATGAGTTCTCTGAAGGTACACAGGTACTTATTGAATAGGCTGTGTTGTACTGTCATAATGAAATTTTGCTGTATAGCTGTCATGGAACAAGATAATCAGCTAGATACTTATACATGTCAGTAACTTGTATAATGGTAGGGATAATGGGGGCTTAACATTCATCTTGAACCCTTGCATTTAGGAAAATTTGCATCTTAATTGCCACAAAATGTGACAGAGGTATATGTATTTTCTAGTTACCCATTTACAAGTGTAAAATTACAGTACTTTCCTGTTCCCAAAACCTTGGAAATAATTCTGTCCATTTGAAAATTAGTGGTAGATTTCCACATTTCTTGTGCTTTGTCTGCTTTGCTGGATATCTGTTTTTAATGCAAAGTTGATTTAAATGAGCAGCAGAGTTTTAGAATATGAAACACTTGAGAAGGACAACTAGGGGCACTCTTAGAACTACAGCAGTTTATTCTGTAGAAAACTCTGCTTGGTAGAACTGAGCGAAGTGGAGAGTTAATCCAACACTGCACTGTACCAGTCACTTTGTCTTTAGTCTCTGCACTAACGTAATATTGATTGCATTGACAAGACATTTCTTTGTGATTATTTTCAAATGGAAGAAATACTTCCTAAAAAATTTCTTTGCAGAAAATGAATCTCCTGTCAGGAAAATCAAAAGACTTATGTTGCATCATCATCCTCAATAACATGTTCAACACTTTGCTCATCTTCACAGGTCCAAAAGAAAGTCGGCGAGTCCCTTCCAAGCCTAGAGCATCACCAATTCCAGATGTACCACACACAAAACCTGGTAAATACGTTGTTTTGTTGTGCTTGGATATTCAGGGTTTCTTTTGAGTTGTCTTACCTCAATGAATCAAGTGTTGATTAAGATCTCTTCATATTACAAACAAATAGATATTCTAATGATCGTTAAATACATGTTTAAAGGAAGATAAAGCTGATTTGTATTTTTAATGGCTGAGTTTTCATGAGTTTTATATGCTTTTTAGCCACATGACAGCTGTCATTGATGAATAATCTGCATAGCAGGGTAGACAACATACAAACATTGTAAGAATGTTCTTGGAAGAAGTTGCATCTCTTCTGTGCCTGTCAAAAGATGCTTAGAAAAACATATTTGAGGGCCTTCGTGTATGACTCTAAATATCTGTAACTCAAACCACTCATATGTTTGTATGCCCTTGTAATGGAACTCGCCCTTAAAAATATATTTAATAGGGATTTAAATACTAGTGAACTGCCAAACCTCAAACTCCTGATGGTTCTGAAAGCAACAGTTGAACCTTCCTTTTGAGTGAGTATATATTCACTAATTCCACCAATAAATAATTTTTAAAAACCAAAAAAAACCCCAAAAATGAACAAATTTAAGTATGTGTTCCAATTTGAAAGGAAATCAGTCATGTAAAAGGGGGTAATTTTACCCTTTTGCTTGCACTTATCACTAATTCTGTGTACGTTCTTGTTTTTATGAAGTTTTGGCACCTACTACATTTACAGTTGAACAACCAAAGACAGCAACAGGTAAAGATGTTACCTTGGACTGGTCGGTGTTATTATTTTTTCCCTGCTGCTCCTTGGACCAAAGATTAGTCTGTTTCTCACATTATCTGTTTGTGCTTTTGATTTATTTTCTTTTCTACTTATCAAACTTAATTCTACTCTCTTCCAGGTATTGAAAGATTCCTAGCTGTTTTGTTGTCTTCACAGAAAATTTCTTTCACTCTCACACACTTTGTATTTCTTTGACACTTGTAGGAGACAAGTATGCCATGGGTATTGCAGTTATGAGCTCTGAAATACAGATGGAAACATGTCCGCTATAGTTGTCCGTGTTCCTTCAGTTTTTGTTGGTTGACTCTAGATTTTGCTTACTTGATCAATATTCCACCCATGTTTTCATTCATGATTTTCTTTTCTCTTTAAATTCCTGTGTGTATCTGGCACACCATTTTTCAGTCTCTCATGTAAGGATCTTGTTTTTCTTTGCATGCCCAAGGTATGCAGTGCCTGTGCAATAAACCTATCTAATTTCTGAAGAGCATAAACCCTTAGAACAGATCTTTTCTTTCAGCTCCTAAAGAACCACAACATACTCCTTTTAAACCTAAAGCAGATCCCATCCCAGATGCTCCACACAGCAAGCCTGGTAAATTATCTGGTCTTTTGTCAAGCTGTGGTTGATAATTGAGCAACTGCTTTTTCAGGGTGGGCAGTGGGGGGAGTTGTCAACAGTACATTTTCTGTTATCTGGGTATCATTCTAGCTTAAGAAACCTCTGCAATGCTGCAATTAAGTCATAACACTGATGGAAACTACAACAGTTCGAGATTTTTTTTCTTTATATTATGTGCATATTACCAGAAGAAGTAGTGGTGACCTGTATGTTTAAATCAATGATAAAAAGTTATTTACGGCTTGTGTCTGAGCAATGCACTTCAGTTGTTTGCACTACGTTTTTGAAGCTCTTATGAGAGAAGCCTCTTAAAGCTGTTGCAGTGCTTTTCCTTTGTTTACACATTTTCATCCAGATTGAGATGGAGGATTCCCTTCAGTTGTATTTCGATTAGGAGGCTCCCGATCATAAATGTGACTGACCTGTATAAGATAGTCTGTGATTTCACTGAAGGGTTGTTATTATTGTTTTTTAAGCATCTAGATGTTAAAATCAAACAAACAATTGAACTCTTTGTAACTGTAAATCTCTGAGGGTGTAAGTGCCCATTGCTGGTTTTAAACATCCCTTTCCTGGTGTATATAGTATAGTGCTGAAGGGCTTTTTTTAAGGGGGCAGGAGGGAGAGGGAGAGTTTCTTCATTATTCTGAGCATTTATCGACATTTTTTCCAACAGAAATCATTCCAGCCTTCCATGAACCAGATACCACTATGATTCCTCATATTGCTGAAAGAACAAAGGCAACATTGGGTAATCACGTGTATTTCATAAATAATTACTCTATTTTCCTTTCTTGTTAGAGAAGATCTTAGAGCTCATTACATGATATCAAAACTAATAATGAAGTTTTGCTCTGCTTCTAGATACTTGCTTGCCCTTTGTTCTTGATAAGGGTAATAATGCATGAGCTCATTTACTTTTTGAAGGTTCTTTTCCTCATCTTCTAGCCTTTCCAGTCAGGATGATGTAATTCCTTCAGATGTTATATATTTTCCAGTAAAAGGTGACTTTATTTAAAGAGCAGGTGGTGATGCCTGTAACTTTTGCATCTCAGGTATGGATACTGTCATCCTAAAATACTCTTCTGCTTGACTTCTCATGGTATAATTTTAGATAAGAAATTGTGAGAAAATGATGAGGTATTAACTATAGCATAACATATACCAAAACAGACCAGCTATGTGACCCTCCAAATCAAATACTAGTTCTTCAAGCCATCTTCTCTGCTAACTTCTAGTCATCCATGTTGGGAAAACTTAGTTAAATATATGAAACATTAGCTGAGAATTCTTTCTTCTTAACTTAAAGGTCAGGATGTGGACCAAATAAGAGTCAATGAATCCAAGCAGTATTGGGCAGCAGGAGTCCTGCTTGAGCAATCTTTGTTAATAATCAGTTCTCTGTCCCCAGTTTCAGAGACAGACATTGACTGTGATTTTCTGAGAACGAAATGGCATCATTAATGAAGTATTAATAGCCATTTAATAATCCTTGAATTATGTTTTTCCTTTTTGAGGAATAGAAAATGAAAAATGCTTTTCATCATGTTTCTATTTCAATATATATTCCCTGTATGCATTGGTACTTGTTTGTATTGATACTTGGTTAGTATTCATTTGGTACCACGTTATATAGCTTTATGAAGTTTATGTGCACTGTCGTTCACATCTGGGGCTACGTGATGCAATATTCATATGCAGAAAATGGTTCTTCAGAGCAAGGAAGATGAAGAGTGCACAGGCTAAGGCAAATATTTTGAGGACCTCTCACTTTGGTGTGGATCGCAGACTAGCAAGTGCTAAGATAACCTTTTCCAGTAGATGATTCCTACATGGCAAGAATTTTTAATGGAACAGTATGAAGATAACAAGATTGAATAGTTCCCACGTAAGAACAAAGATGTTAATTTATAAATCAAGTCTGATATGAAGGATCCACTGAAAAATAGCTCCTGTCCTCAGATACTCATGTATCGCAGATGTGGAATATGTAGGCTACTACTGTCTATTTTTGTCCCATTACTTTACTGTATGCTGTTCATGACTATATTCTTCACTGCTTCATCCAAAGCTACAAATTTGTATATAGTTTTGGGGAAGTCGGTTTGTGTCAGTGGCCATTTAACTTGTTTTCCATTCTTTGCAGGAATTCCAACTGATTGATTTTCAGCTTTACCCTTTGATAATTTGCCTTATTACAGATCAGATCATACTTACGTGCCTTGTGTGCTATGAAAGCAGTGTGTTTTTTTTAATTATTGTTCTGGGTGCTGTTTGTTTTTATTTCAGCTCCAATTGAAAAACAGTTCATTCATACCAAACCAAAAACATCTGAAAAACCAAGAGTGCCACACACCAAACCTGGTAATGGAGTCATTCTTTTCATTTTGTGTGTTTGTGTTTAATCATTCTTTCCCTTAGCCTCAGGTTTTGTGCTTTTTAACAGAATTATTCATAGCTGGTTCTGTGCTGAAACAAATGCATTACACTTAAGTCAGTCAATCCAAAACATGCCAAAACTACACTGAAAATAATAATAGGATTTGTAGTATAGAGCCAAAAATGTTTTTCCTCCTTTCTATTACATGTGGCAAATGATGACTGAAATGTAGTAATGTGGGTGTTGACAAATTTCGATGGCTAGATAGACTGAGTTCTCTGTGAAAGCACTTTCTTTTTTTTTAAATCCATAAAATGCAACAGAACTCCTTTGCAATGTGCTTGTACAGTTAGCAACTGACGTTGTGTGCTATGCTGAAACAAAAGTATTCTTAAATAGGTACAGAGGTCTGTGTCTCTTCCCATTTTTGTTATAGAAGGAATGTACAGGAGAAGTTAATAGAAAGATAACAATACCAGTCAGCAGTTGATTTTTAAGATATTCTGGTACTCTTTAGTTTGGGGCATTTTGAAAGTTTCAGAAATTGTGCAAATGCTACTATGTTTCCATTACAGTTTAATATTCTAATTTTCTCCTTAACAGCAATACATCAGACAACTCCACAACCAATTATTACAAAATCTTCTACTACCACTGAGCATTCAAGGGCAACAATGGGTAAATAAGTTTCTTTAAAGTTAAGATGCAGGTATTTTAAATTTTTCAATGGATAAATTCCTAGAGAACATGCTCCAGTGTGGTACTTTGTGTAACATCATTCACTGTCCTTCACTCTGCTTAAACACATGCATGTTTCTTAATGCAAATGAGTCTCTATTCTACCCTAGAAGTAAAGCAGAAATAACCTACAGCTCATGTCTGGTCAGAAGCCCGTATTTGTCAGATCTCCAACCAAATTCAGTGGTCAATTTTTCTTTTAGAGTGAGAATTTTAGGGACTAACTCAACTTATCCTACAGCACAGTGTTAGGACTTTTCTGTGTTTTGGATAGTCATTTCGTTTCAGGTTCCAGAAAGCCATGGAATTGTTATTGTCTTTTTTTCAGGCATTTGAAGCATGCATTTTCTGTGGGCTAAATATGGCATTGGATCATAACTCCTGAAGAATACAATAAAAATCTTTTTCCTTTTCTTTCAGCTCCAAAAGAAACACTGTTTATTCCTTCCAAACCCAAAACATCTGTGGGGCCAGAAGTATCACAGACTAAACCTGGTAATTTAAAGTTTGTAACTTTAAAAGTGTTATTGTGGCACTACCTTAGTTACACTTTCTGCTGTCATTCAGTACTGCAGTCATATGACATGCATGATATGTAGACAGAAATTAGTATCAAGGTTCAGCTCAGAATATGTTAATAAATTATATCAAAGAGAGTGCCCAAGAATTGCATCCATTTCCATGGAGAGCAGAATTTAAGATGGTTGGGGTTTTTAACATTTGTTTGTTGAATTGGTGGGTAGTAGCCATTAAAAATATGAGGAATTCAGTTAATTTTAATAAAAATATACTGCTGTGGCCAGCCTCACTAAGTACTTTTCTTTCAGGGGATTTTATTACCCTAAATACATTTGCTTCAATTTCTTGAGTACTTTTGAAACTTGGATTACAGGATCTCAGTCCAAGATAATTAGATGCTAAAAGTATAGGTACCTTCTTTCTATCAGTGATTTTTGCAGTAACTACAGTAGATTTAGGGATGCATAGTTATAATGAAGGATGATATCTCAGCTTTACCCTGGGTGTGAACTATTTCCATAAAATTTACTAGGTAGGAAGGTTACAGGAGAAAAAAAATGTTAGTGGAGGAGCAACAACATAGTTATAAGAAAGAGCAGCTCCTAATCTTTCTTAGTCTCTGATCAAACCTCCAAACTGATAATATTTTAGTTTTAGGCAAATAAGTTAATGAATAGTTTTATCATTTCCCCCTTTTTTTTAACCTTAGACTTCTAGCCCTTTTTATATAGCCAAAAGGAATTTAAGCAGAGAATTCATTCAAGAACTGTACGTATATATTGCTATGAAAATCAAACTGAACGGTCCAGGAAAAATATTTCTTTTCTAAAGGCCTTAGTGCCGTGGTTTTGTACCACTACAAAGCTAGTTTTAGGCAAAGAATTTTAGAAAACAGAATTTATATGTTTATTCTCTTCCTTTTAAATTTTAAATCATTATAATGATACGTATGCAAAATAAACTACTGTTAGGAAAGTTGTTAAATGGCTCTGTTTAGCCACTGCACTTTATGCTAGTAAGTAGGTTACTTTCCAGCTTCCATGTTTTAACCTTATTTCTGAAGGACAGAGAGGCATGTAGTGTGTGCCTCTGCCTGCCAGTCTCTCCTTTTCATCCAGTCACTTAGATATCTTTCACTAAACTGGATCAAACTGGAGTGAGGGAAGAATGTCTGAAAGATAAATACGTTCCCACAAGCTTTTAGGAATTTTTTTAGGGAAGTGCAAATTAATATACCCAATGTGAGAAAGACCAAAGACTGTCAGAAGTCCACCTTTAGGGCATTTGTTCTGAAGTTGATGGAGGCCCAGCAGAATAGTTGCACTGTCTGGCTGTCAGCATGAAAATACATCCAGGCTAATCAGAACACATGTCTGTCTCATGTCTGTTAAAATTGTCTTAGCAGATGCGTAGATAGGTTTTTTTAGGAACCAAAGGACACAGATCCCTAATGAAATCCAACTTCTTTAGTTTCACTTCTCACAGAACAATGTTTTATTTCTTGTAGCTCCAAGGGCAACACACCTGGGATCAATTAACCTGATAACAGTTCATGTTGTTGATGGGTCCAAAATGACTTTGGGTAATGAGAATATTATGTCAGTTTATTTTCCACAAAACTTTACTTTCTCTGCTTTTGCTATATGGCTAAACTTGCACTTTAATCCACAGAAATACCTTAATGTATCTTCATGTCATGTTCATTTGTTAGTCACATTCCAGTGCATGTACAAAATGTTGCTGGTTTTAATTTTCCAGCTGTTTTCTCTTTCATGCAATTCTTTCTAGAAATAAGTATTTCATGTACAAGGCTGAGGAGTCATATAAAAATGCATTACCTGACCATCTTTTCTTCTTTTGTCTGACTTACTAACTATATATATTTTCCCAGTCTTGAAAAGTCTTTTCTCTGTATAAAAGCATGATTTTCAGCCAGGTTTCTAGCACTGACTCTTTTTGTTTATGGTCTGCACAAAGACAGTTTGAAATTCCCTTCCACCTGTGGTATCTTATGTTTAAAAGGAAATCATTTGATAAGCAATAATATCTTCACTTTCAGTTCCCAATGAAACGTACCAAATTTCCCCCAAGCCCAAAACTGCCCTAGCAACTGAAATTCCACGGTTCAATACAGGTAATTTTTATTATTTTCTTAAGATGTTGTATTGAGAGTCTGTAGATCTTCAGTAAAATCAGTACAGTTTAAGGTTTAATGGACTGTTTGTTACTACCTTTAAAACTATTCCAAATATACAACATGAAAATTATTTTTTCCTTTATCAAATGTTTTTTGTTTATTGCTTTGAAAAATCGAGGTTTAATCAGTATTGCCTCAAAGATGATATGAAGCTTTTAAACAGTATTAGTGCTATATATTGGATCCTCAGATGCATAGTACTGCAAACATTGATGTAACTGACTTCCACATTTTTCCTTATAAAATACTAAATCCAAATCTGTAAAACTTTTCCCAAATGTAAATGTCAAAAATGAGTAATATGTTCTTTCCTGCATAAGTATTTTTTCTGACACTTCAGAGAGGCTGGGTTGAGTGTTATGGGTAGAATGGTTATTAGGTTTGAATATCAAATAGCTAGCTCTGTTTATTCAAAAATTTGAGTTATAGAGGTTGATAATTTGGCACAAGATGACAGTGACTACTGCTTATGCTTTCAGCTTTCAGTGTGATTCACACAGATTCTGTAACAACTAGAATACCAAAATTGTTTGGCAAGTGAAAGGCAACAATAAGAAAAGGTTAAAGGCTTCTGATTTTAACCTTGATGATATCACTATGCTTCAGCAGCCCTACACAGTGTCTGCATTGAATGCTTCCCATTGTTTTCTCAGCACTATTTTAATGTTTCATGTTTTTATCTGAATATTTGATTTGGGGGTGTTCAATTTGGTGTTTTATTTTGAGGTTTTTTGTTTGTTTGTTTTTTACAGAACCTAATTAAATGTCTTAAGGCCATGGATACCTTGCAGAGCTAACTCTGTATCCATATACAGTTGGGTAACTGGCTGTAAATATTTTATATCTTTTCCTAAACCTAAACATGAATGTAACTGGTCAGATTGCATGATGGAGTCATCTGACCACTAAGGAAACTAGCATTTTCAGCGTGCATTTTGGATTGGAAAGCATAGAATTCTCATGTGTCCATTTTGCTGTATCATATTGGTGCATGGACCTTTTTTCTGGCAAATTACACTGCATTATCGGTGTTCCTTTTATACATAGCATCTAAACTGAGCCTTATTTCTTTTAGCACCTCATAAAACGCGTCTCACTTCTGCAAGACCAAAGCCATCTGATAAATCACAGACCAGACCTGGTAATAATTGTTTATTCAATTTGGGATGGGGAAGAGAATAATTAATTAATTAATTTCACCTATTCTCAGTGGAATTTTAAGTGTTCCTGGGAAAAAGGGTATTTTTCTTTCAATTAATCAGTCAAGAAGTAAAGCTTTTCTGAATCGGAAAAAAAGAAACCCGAACTATGTGTACTATCACAGCAAATGTTAATTTTTCTTCTGTAGTGTGGAATTGTTGGTATCGCATAAAAGTCTGTTGGGTTTTCTTCTAATGGGACTTTTTCTTTCTTTTTTTTTTTTTTTTTCTTTTTAAACTCTCTCACAGCTCTTAGTAAAACCACACTAGCACCAGCTAGAACAAAAGCACCTGGACTGCCAAAGTGGATTGTGCCAACAACAGGTAGAGCTACAGGTTTTGGGTATTTTTAACGTGTCAGTAAAAGACAGGAATGTGACTTCCTCAAATCATCTTGAGCCCTGCAAAATATTTCATTATGTTTCATTATAGAAGTTAATTCTTCAGAGTACTGTGTGTAATTGCTGCTACTGGTCATGCTGTGTAATTCCTGAGTGATGAAATGATATTGACACTCAGACAGTGTAAACTTACATATAGATTATTATGTGGCTACTATTTACTGATGGTTTCTAGATGATAGGTCCAGAATAATTACTGGAAAACACTTTATTGAAAAGGATTACCCAGTTGTTTAAGTCCAAGTCAGAAGGCTTGGTAAGAAAGCCTTAAAGCCAGGTATCTTGCTAGCTACTAGTATGCACATGGTATGTTCACGTCAGACCTACTCATATGCAGACTATGCAGTGTTCGAACTATGCGGTATTCAAGCTTGAATACTTCAGCACCAAGAAAGTTCCAAGTTGATGGATGATAGAGGAGGGTGAGAACTGTCACTTCAGTTTACACATCCTTACAATACATCCCTAACCACAAAGATTTATTCAAAATACTGGTTTAGTTACAGGAAAATCATTTATTCTTTTTCAATTGTACTTGATTTTTCCATCCAATCAAAATAATGTTGTCAGTGCTAATTCATAATGAATACATGATTTTTTTATTTAATAAAGCATTAATTTATTATGTCAATACAAATACTGTTGGGTTTTTTAGTACAGCCGTTGGTTAATTACCTTTGTACTCTGCGCTGGTGAGGCCGCACCTCGAATACTGTGTTCAGTTTTGGGCCCCTCACTACAAGAAGGGCATTGAGCTGCTGGAGCGTGTCCAGAGAAGAGCGACAAAGCTGGTGAAGGACCTGGAGAAAAAGCCTTACAAGGAGCGGCTGAGGGAGCTGGGGTTGTTTAGTCTGGAGAAGAGGAGGCTGAGGGGAGACCTGATCACCCTCTGCAACTACCTGAAAGGAGGTTGTAGCGAAGCGGGGGTTGGTCTCTTCTCCCTGTTAACTAGCGATAGGACAAGAGGAAACGGTCTCAAGTTGCGCCAGGGGAGGTTCAGGCTGGACATTAGAAAGAACTTCTTCACTGTAAGGGTCATTAAGCATTGGAATGGGCTCCCCAGGGAGGTGGTGGAGTCACCATCCCTGGAGGTGTTCAAAAAACGTTTAGATGTGGCGCTTCAGGACAAGGTTTAGTGGGCATGGTGGCATCAGGTATACAGTTGGACTTGATGATCTTTGAGGTCTCTTCCAACCGTAATGATTCTATGATTCTATGAAATACAGAATTTTGGGATTGTTCATTGATGCAAGTTTAAAATTATAAATAATATAAATAAATAATACACGTATTTAATGCAAACTTTTGGCTGTTCACCCACTAGTAACAGTGCTACTGTCCCATACTATTGCTCTGTGCTAGCTGGATGAGGATAACCTGAGTAATATACCATCTACTCTACACATTGCTTTTTTTTGTCTGTGTAATGTTTCTCTGTACTAGGACTTCCAAAGTATTTTTGGCAATTTAATACCTGTTGTTCACCTTAGTATGATTTGAGCTACTGACTCTTGTACATAATTTTGAGAAGCCCACCATGTTGTTAGAAATGGCAAAACCTCAGAAGAGATGGTTGTATATTTAAATTTAATTAAAAATAGCCTGTTCAGAACATGACATACTCTTCTGTATTACATATAGAGTGGATGCCTTCATTGGAGGTATGTGCTCTTTGACCTTTCATAGTCCTTCTGGTAAATGAGATGAGCCCATCGAATTCCAGGACATCAGAGACAGTTACAGGATTAAATGACCAGTGGCAGTAGTTGTGGGTCAGAAAGTTCTGGTCTTCGCTTGTGTTGACAGTCTGCTTATAAGTGAGCTTTCTAATATCTGATTACCAAAATAAGCAGAATGCACATAAGTCTCCAGGAATAGGTGGCTTTTGAAATAGTGTTATGAAAGTATGCATGAATACACAATTATGTTAGACGGTATATAAAGCTTTTCCCTTCTCCCACATAGTAGTAACCTTGGCAGAGGTATCTGTAGATTAAAAAGAAGAAAAAAAAGAATGCATGCTAAGTAAATCAGCAGTATAAACATAATAGTAGACATGTAAATGGTTAAATGTAATCTATTGTGTTTAATGCTGGTTTAGGTGACTGCTGAAGTATTGTTTTAAGCAGTCTTATTTTAAATGCTCCTATTGGAATGCCCACTAGTTGTCATTATTTCCATGTCTTTATAGTAGTGCCAGTGCCAGGAAGAACTAGAGCTCCGTTGTGGTGGATGGTGTCAAAAATTGTCACAAGACTGTTACCTTCCTGTGCATGCTGTGTGTACTCACAGGCAAATAAGTACCTTCTTTTAGAATTCTTCTGGAAAATGATACTTCTTGTAATATTTTCTACTGCTCAGTTACATAAGTCTTTTTTCTCTAAGTTAAAGAAACATCCTGAAGATGTCTGTTATCTAGATTTTCTGTTCTGCCAAGTGAGCCTTTTAAGTTAAACCTGGTGTCCAAAGTACTAAGGAAGAGCTGGCATTTATTATCTACTGCCTATTTCTTTGTGCCTTCAACCTTGCTGACATAGCAACTCATTGATATCTTTCTGTGAGTCTGCACCTTTCTTCTCAGAAGTGTAGAGAAATCACCAGTGAATTTTGTACGTTCATTACATGTTGAGAGAGGACTGCAGCTTTTCACAACTTTTCAGTCTGTGCTTTCCTTGATGATCAATAAGTGAAATCTGAAGTCTTCTGTAAAGCAGGTATGTCACAGTATTGTGGCAAATGCAGTGTCTGAGCCTACGAGGCTGTTTGTGCTCACAAAAATAATTTCGCACAACAAGAGAGTTCAGGTAATTGGTTGAAGAAATCTTCTAGATCTCTCCCAAGCGATGTGCAATTACATATTGTGAGCAGAATTCCTAAGTCTGCAGAAGAGACTTAGAAAAGAGAAATCCACTAACCTGGAACCCTAAATCTTACCAGCTGAGCAAAGACAAAAAAGTTTGCTTTTCAGTAAGTGCCATCATAGAGAAATCATAACATTTTAAGATATCCAGATGATTTTTGGGAGTGGGGAAATTTATTTCTTCTGTTTTGAAAATGTTATGTTATTTTCTGTGGTTAGCTTATCAGAATCCTTAACTTCTGATCTAAGCCGATCAGAATCCTTAACTGGACTGTAAGGAAGAGTATGTTTTCAGGATTACCTTTAGACATTACATCATTTTTTCTTTCTCTGAAGAAGAGCACGTTTACTGAAGAGACATGGATACTCTGTTGTTCAAAGACCAGTTTGGATCTTTTAATTCCTTGATGGGCTGGCACTGCTATTGAATGTACTCCAGTTCTTCCTGTTTGTGCTCATTAGCATCAGTGCAAAGATGTTTCACCCCATACAGAGTGTGCTTGGCAGCTGCAGGATCCAGATGATAAGCAGTAGAATTTGTTTTTTTCCAGCGGCAGCAGATGGAATTGTGGCTGGTTTCCTGGCAGACTTTCCAGTGTCCTGGCTAGCTGTAATGCCAGGTGGTAAACTTGACTGTGGGAAAGAGGCAGGGATTGCCTCCTCATGACTAACATTCCTTTCAGTTTTCTACCATGTTTTAGCCATTTTCTCTAGAATTTCATTTTATTGACGATGGCTTTTTGTATTTGTCTTAATGTAGGTAACTTATCTTACTCAGGTTTTTTACTTAATCCTAACCATTTAAAAACTGCCCCTGATCTATTAAGCTTCCAGACAACCTTCAGCAAACAAACCTTGAGCAACATTTCCATTTCCCTTGTGAAAGTGAGAGAGAGTTGGTTTTCGTTATAATGGCCATTAACTTTGTGTTCTATTTTATTTTTGAAACTGTGGGTATATAGCCAAGTTCTAGAGGAACTCAAGTATTAAAGTATTTCAGTTTGTTTTATCAAGGTCACTTTTTCCAGTTCTTCCCTTAAAATGATCCACCCTTCTAATGGTATTCCTGCTATTAAAGATGCAGTGGTTAGTTTTAAGGTGTTCCAGACTACATGAATATTTTCAGGAAGAATGATAGAGGTAAAAGAAGACACAAACACACATGCAAGTAATACATCTATTCTTAGTTCTGTTGAACGTTTGGATGAATGTGGTAAGTCAAAATGCTTACAAAAAGCAAGTTACGTTAGCTAGCATAAGGCAAATGCTGTGATAAATACAGCAAGCTGTTTGATAGTGCAGGTACCTTGTGTGAAAGCACAAACAAACTTTTATGTAACTTTTAAGTGCAATGAAACATTCAAAAAGGAGGTTTTGTCAACAGGGAAGTGTTGTGGTTTGATCAGCTTTTTCCCTGAAACTTTGACTTATTTTTCATGCCTGCTTTACTAATGAGAGAACAGCAGTGCAAGTTTCTGAAAAAAATAATTTACTTCTTCCATCTAGAATGTATACAATATTTTGTTCATTCCTAGCTGATATAACTCAGAAAAGATTGTGATTCTAAATTAGATTGTAAGGAGCAGGACAGAGGTAGAGATAGGCTTTTCTGTAGATACTGTAAGATGCAAAACTAAATTAGACTTGTAATGGATACTTGAGTGATTTAGTGTGATTTAGTCAATGTGCTGCTACATTTTGTTGCTGTGTTTATTGTGAGAGGAAGCTAAGAAACTAAATGACTATGATGCGTGATGTACAAGATCGTTTTTCATTTTAAAGCTTTTAAAGCTGGTACTGGTCTTCTCATGCCTCTTCTTCCTTGAACATCATTCACGTGAAACATTGATTAGCACTCTGGCACTTTGTATATCTGAAGATCTAATTAACTACTTTAGTTACCTGAAGACAAACTGCACTTATATAAAACCACATTATGTGTTTAGAAATTTTAGTCACAGGGACCAGGTGTCCTGCATCCTGTTCCCAGCTTACTACAAGTCTCATTGCTTTAATCTTAAGTAAGTCATTTAACATGTCCATACTATGGACTGTGTCCTAAAGTATGCCTAGCAAGAATGGCCAAATAGTAAAATAATTGAGAAATTATCTGCTTCATGCTGTTAAAATACTAGTTTAATCTCAAAACAAGCTAAGCACCAGATTACAAACCTATTAAATCTTTGGTTAAAGTGTTTAGATCATGTTGGAATAGGGTTGGAATTTGATAATGAATTTAATTTTGAAGGTTTTGGGGTTGTGGGTTTTTTAATACATTAACTTTCAGGGTTTTTTTCTTATGTCTGGAGAAAGAGTGATTTTTTTTTTTTTTTTTTTTTTCCACAAACATGATGAAATTGTAGTACATCTTCTCACTCTGCCATATATAGAGTTCTTATAAAGTAAATATTTTGTATAGGGAAAGCATATTAATTTAACAGTCTGGCAGTCCTATAAATATCAGCATGTTAAAAAGTTGTTCTGTACCAAGAGTAGTTGTGTTAATCTTTTTAATGGCATTTACTTCAGTTTTTTTAAACCGTGTTTATATAACTTTTAAGTAGGATTTTCTTTTATATACAAACTGAATTTTATGTACACTTTGCCTCCAGTACTCCAGATACATTGTATGTTTGGTTCAATATTGCTGTAGCCATTCAATATGGAGGGTAACTGAAGATCTTATTTTGGGGAGAAGGAGAACTTTGTCCTTTGCCAGAATCAATGGACATTTTATTCTATATACTTAAATGTATACAGAATGTTCTCTATATTCATCTTTCCATGTATAATCTTGGTTTAACTCATCTGTTATGTTTTAATCTTATTAAGTCTCTCTTTCCAAATAAAATTTTTTCAAGGAATGTTTAAAATTAAATTGCAAACTCTCTAGACCCAGATCAGTTTTTACTTACTTGAATAGGAAGATAAAGGATATCACTAAATTCTTAGTAAAAACATAGGTGGGCCGTATATGCCAGTTCTGCACTTAATGTTAGCTAGAGTTTGAACATATGCAATATACAAGTATTCCATGAGCTGGTACTGCACTGTGGATACTTAATTCATTTCCTTTGTTTCACAGATGATGTATATACGCCTGAGGATATTGCCAGACAAATTGGCATGGATGTGGAAAAACCTTTGGAATATAGTGATACCTGGGAAAAGCCAATTTCTGGTAAGGTTAATAATAGAAGACAATATAGCAAATTTTAGCAGTAATGAAAAATAAAACCACTGCCTTTCCTACACAAAAGGCACCTCCACTAAGAAGAGAAAATAATTCTTAGTCGTTCTCATCAATACACCTTCTCTTTGCTTCAGGATACTACTAAAAGAGATAAAAATAAGAATGTTGCATGGTCACCACTTGGTCAGTACTTAGTCACTTACATATGCCATATATTAAAAATTACCACCACCACTGTTGTATCTTTATGATCAAACATCCACAATACTGTAAGCACTGATTTTTTTAATACTAATAATTTCTACATAGCAAGGGAGAATAAGGTGGATGCATAAACAAATTGTCCTCCCATTTATGAGAAATTGAATATTGTTGAATATTAGGGTTGTTGGGAAAATTAGAACATTAGGCTTGAAGCAGGATAACAATGTGGAGTAAATAAGGTTACAGGTTTTTTTACATGTGCTAAACAGGCTGGTCAGTTTTACTTTTCTTGCAAGTCTTGCAATCATATTTTCACAGCAGTCAAAATATTTTTACTGAAAAACGGCTTCCCCAAATAGGCCTTCAAAAATAGACTTTTTGTATTTCACTTTTTTCTTGTCAGCTTCTTAGACATTTTCTGTTTAGACTGAAAAGTTGTAGTATAGGGTGTGTTTGTGTGCCACATGTACACACGAACATACATGCAAACATGTAAACACCCTTACATGTGGAGAATGTCTTTGTTTCATAAGCATAACCAAGAATAGAACTTGTTTTAGCTATCCTTTTTTACTGGCATAAAAACTGACTGAAAAGAAAATCTTTTGGGGTTTACCCTTAGATTTACTATTCAGCTGCAGCTTCTCTTTTTAGTTAGTTTTTCCTGTGAAAATGTGTTATTAGATTTAAAAACACAGATACAAAGATACGCCTCTAATTAATTTATAAACTGCTGTTTGCTCCTAATCCCTGTTGAATTTCCTTTGCCTCTAATTTTCCTGCACAAAGACAAGACCATATCTTGACAATTGAGTTCTGATGTTTTGTCTTTTTATTCAGTCTGAAGGTTGTACTTTACAAAGATTAAGTCCAGTGTGATACACTATTAGAAGAAGCTGGATGTAAACTGTAAGCTGAAAACAAGGATGACACTCTGCTTTTTTTGTTACTGAATGTCAGGCAGTGGTGTGTACTTGAGTAAATTCAGCTTGTGATTTGCAGAGACTAAGGTTTTTTTAAGCACATGGATTAGAAGGAACATCTGCATCTGCTTTTAAACATCTAATGTCATAAGATGTTTAAAGTTATGCTTTTAGAGCTTTGAAGTAAGCCAATACCTTGAACTGTAGTCATAAAAGACAGTTGGATATGGCTGTGAAATTAGCTACTACTGTTTCATAATTTTCTTGCATACTTCTGTAATCTCAGCTCTCTTCATGAGGCCTTAGTATGTATATCAAAGTTCAGAATTACAGAATCATACAATGGTTTGAGTTGGAAGGAACCTTTAAAGACCATCTAGTTCCAACCCCCTTGCCGTGGGCAGGGACACCTTCCACCAGACCAGGTTATTCAAAGCCCCATCCAACCTGGCCTTGAACACTTCCAGGGATGGGGCATCCACAGCTTCTCTGGGCAGCCTACGCCAGTGCCTCATTACCCTCACGGCAGAGAATTTCTTCCTTATATCTAATGTAAATCTACCCTCTTTTAGTTTAAAATTATTACCCCTTGTCCTATCACTACAGGCCCCAGTAAACAGTCTCTCTCCATTTCTCCTGTAAGCCCCCTTTAAGTACTGAATATTGCAATAAGGTCTCTTCGGAGCCTTCTCTTCTCCAGGCTAAACAACCCCAAGTCTTTCAACCTGTCTTCATAGGAGAGATGTTCCAGCTCTCTGGTCATTTTTGTGGCCCTCCTCTGCACCCGCTCTAACAGATCCACATCTTTCTTGTACTGGAGATCCCAGAACTGGATGGACCACTCCAGGTGAGGTCTCATGAAATCGGAGGAGATGGGGAGAATCACCTCCCTTGACCTGCTGGCTGCACTTTTTTTGATCTAGCCCAGGATACATTTGGCTTTCAAGGCTGCAAGCACACATTGCTGGTTTATATCTAATTTTTCATCTGCCAATATCCCCAAGTCCTTCTCTGCAGGGTTGTTCTGAATCCATCTGTAACCTAGCCTGTACTGAGACTGGTGGTTGCCCTGACCCAGATACAGGACCTTGCATTTGACCTTGTTGAATTTCTTGAGGTTTGTATTGGCCCACTTCTGCAGCCTGTCAGGGTCCCTCTTGATGACATCTCTTCTCTCCAGCGTGTCGTGTCAACTGCACCACTCAGCTTGGTGTCATTCGCAAACTTGCTGAGGGTGCACTCAATCCCACTGTCTGTATCATCAGTAAAGATATTGAACAGTACTGGTCCCAATACGGACCTCAAGGATACCTCTTGTTACTGCTCTACCTTTGGACATAGAGCCATTGACTGCAAGTCTTTATATGGGGCTGTCTAGCCAATTCCTTTTCCGTCCAATAAATAGTCCATCCATCAAACCCGTATCTCTCCAATTTAGCAACAAGGGTGTTGTGTGGGACTGCATCAGAGGCCTTGCAGAAGTCAAGATAGATGACATCAGTTGCTCTTCCCTTATCCACCACCACAGTCACTCCATCATAGAAAGCTACCAGATTAGTAAGGCACGATTTGCCCTTGTGAAGCCATGTGGGCTGTCTCTAATCACTTCCCTGTCATCCATATCCCAGGACATAGCTTCCAGGAGGATCTGTTCCATGATCTTCCCAGGCAAAGAAGTGAAGCTGATTAATCAGATCTTGCTACAAGTTAGCCAGTATATGACTTAGCTTTTAAATACATTTACTTTTTCTGAAAACTTTGTGTGTGTTAACTGAAAAATTTACGCTACTTACGGGAAATGAAAAAGACAAGTTACCGCACACGTGAATTAAGTTTGATGTGTTAAGAATCTGTCCTAAGAGGCTGCACGTCCTCCTTTTTCATATAGAGTGACAGAGTCAAGGAAATACATTCCCAGTCCACAAAGAACCCTTGAGATTAAGTAAATCCTAATAGTTCACCATGCTGCTGTCCTTGCAAGAATCTACACTGTTACAAAATCCCTAAATTCTATTGTATGTCCTAATTTACAAGCTCAGTGTCCACACATTGTTAATGAGATTTGGTAGCGTCATAGACCATCACCCAAATCATTGTGGAAGTAGTAGAAGGGAAGAGTAAGGATTCTTGTTTTTCCAGAGTGCAGTATAGTAGATTCAGCTGTGATACAGTCCACTGAATGTGGTGTTTTGACGTGCATTTAACTGTTGCAGTTGTGTTGTTCAGAACATACAATAGAAACCACTGACAAGTCAATACTTGCACCCCATAAATATCTCAGACAATCCAATTCCCTAAATACGGAGTGGGAAAACTAGTCATGGATAGTACCATGTAGTAGTATCTAGGCTATGGTGACTTATATATACAAAAATTTATTATCCTTTTTCAGATCTTTAGGCATATTTTTTCATCTCCATCTGGGGATTAAGAATGAATATAAAACCTACAAATCTTGTTTTCAAAAACATCGTCTTCCTGAATTAGATTATTTTTTCCTGTCTTGATCTGAGGGATTTAAAAAAAATGTGTTTTATAAGTGACTGTAAAAGTCCAAAAGGAAGAGGGAACATAAAAAAATGAAGATGCTCCTGTTTGTATACTGTAAGTATTTCTAAAAAGGCTCTCCCAAATGAGTCTTTGGATCTGATCCCTTCTCACCCACAGTCACTCTATGGGGTAAGCTGAGGTCTGATACGTAGGGCCTGTGTAGCCAGTAAGTCAGTATCGGGCAACTTGCATATTTGTTGACACTGGCAGTATTATAAGAATTATATTAGTCTTGAGAACTTTCCCCTCTTAGGTACAAAAAGTCTTGTGTTACATAAATCTGTTGCACACATCTACTGGTTTTTTCTTAAGGAAAGAAGCGCAAAGGTGAATAATGGAAGAAAAATCTTTGCCTTTCCTTTGCATAATAAAATCCTTTATAATTGCCTGGAAAATACGGTAAGCATGAATTAAGAGGCTTAGGTTCTCCTTTCAGACCTCACTGTAAAAGGACCTTACCAGATAAATTTAACAGATATTGGCTGGAACTGCACATTGAAACAACCTAGTTGGGTTCTTCAGGAGTTTCTAACACAATAACTATCTCTAGCCTTGTCAGTGCATGAAGTGACTTTTTTCATTTTTCACTTTTGAATGGCATAGGATGAAGTGTCCCTAATGATCATTTCCCTTGTGCTACATCTTTTGCTTCAAGCTGAGGGTGACTAGTTTTAAAGATCAGAAATTTTGTGAGTAGGATACTGAAGATGTTTCCAAGTACACTGAGATGGTGTTTGTTGTGGGAAGAAGTATCCTGCTGACTGCCAAAAAATTACTGTTGACAGCAATGAGTAACTACACAGAAAATGAATCGCTGAAACACTTGTACAAAATACCAAAGGAGCTACATTTTTTCAGTGTAAGCTTGGTTTAAAACTCCATGGCACACGCTTCCCAAAGAATTTAAGGCTGAAAATACAACTCAATTTCAGCTCCTAACTTCACCTCTCTGCTTTTGATACTAAATCAGACGTGAAACATTGTTTGAGAAGTCAGAATATAACTTGTAATGGGTTTCTGATTTTATGGAATTTAAGGTTAAATAATTAATAACAGTGTCTTGTAATGTCATTCAGCAACTACATCACCTGGCCCTCAGCATCCTCCTATACCTCCTGTCAAGCCTACACAAATGCGAAGAAAACCTCTGCCTCCAAACACTGTGACTGGTAAACCAGGGAGTCCAGGTATCTCAGCCTTTTCAGCATAAATATTTTATTATGCATGCGATAATACTGAACTGACTAGCAGGATATAGGAGAATTTTATAGTGTAAATTTGTTTTCTTTAATCTGTGATTTCTACAGAAACTAGTCTTCTGCAACATACAGGCCCTATGTCTTTTGTCTCCATATATAAATTCTGCTTTCCTTTTGTTTTCCTAACCTAGTTATGTCAAAATCATCCCTAGTAAGGGAGCTGAAAGCAAAATAGCATAATGCAAGTCACCCTTTAAGATGATCAGCCTTAAGAACATTTCATGCCTACTAATAGTATTTGCAGTTACCTAATGTGTGTGTCAGACGGGAGATACTGGATATTATGCTTCAATACATACTCCCAACTGGTTATTTGTAAAGAAATTCTGTCCCATACATATGGCACATCCATTAACCACTGCAAATAACGAGCTAATAGGCACACAGAAAACTAACTGCACTGGGAGGTAAGAGCGAGCTGAGTTATTTCATGTGCAAAGAGTTTAGCTTCATTCCTGTGCTACAGTATTCCTGCTTCTCAACTTCAGTATAACAGCACACAGAAACTTTCACATTTCGTATTTTATTTTAATTTAATCCTGAAGCTGATGTTCAGTAGCCGTAAGTGTGTTTTGTCTGTGGATTCTATATAAGAATCCTTGGGCTAATGTTTTTCCAAGTAGTCAGAAACTATCATCTCATTGTGCTTAGCATCATGAGAAATGCTTCCCTCTTCATATTACTCTCTGTTGTTCACTGGAAATATAAAGGTCTTGGCTCTGCTGTATTTGCTGTTGGCTTTTTGTTTGTTTGTTTCATTTGGGGCTTTGTGTGCTATTAAGGCACTAAAGACCTAATAATTCTTCAATATTTTGTGCAGCAGATTAGAAGCAAGGATCTCCAAGCTGAGTGAAACAAGCTGTATATTTACTCAACAGCAGAGCTAAGATCAAAATGTTGTGTCTATACTTGCTGTTGATTGGAGGTGTTTCTTTAGCAATAACTACAACAGAACAAAAGACATTGTCAGTCTTAAGCTGCAGCATAAAGAAATGTTGACCTGATACATTTTCTTTTCTTTGTAATGGGGTCTATGCTAATTTTCTCCATTAAGTGTCTAATTAATTTACCAGTGTTTTGAATTTTCACCCTTTTTCCGTATGCTAGAGGCCAGGTTATGTGGTAGTCAGCAGTCACCATACCTTCTTAGGCATTCAAGATGGAATAAATTGGTTAGATGATCTGTTTCTTCCTTGTGGGGCCAGCAGCAGATTTTCCTTTTTCTGTGTTTTATCCAGCTTAGTTTTAAACATCATAATTGAGTTTCTTCTTGTTCCCTGGAGAGACTGTTCCACAGTACTAACAGGAAAAATTTACCTCAATATTCTTCTTAGATTTTCCCTTTCATAATTCTGTCCTGTTTCTCTTTCTCATTAACACTGTGATTAATTCCTTACTTGCATCTTTCTTACTCATCCAGTGGATAAGTATTATGGAAAGGTTTCTATGCAGACATTAAAAGTCTCCTCAATGGGAAAAAAGGAAACAAGAAAGTTCCAGAACATTTGTGAAACTGGACTCTAGTGAGAATCTTAATAAATTTCCACTTTATTCAGGAAATTAATGGAAGGTAGGGATTTTTGTTGTTTTAAACTTGGTTCACCAGAGTTCTGCCTTCAGTCACCATGTTCTTGTGTGTCATATGCAGGGAAGGTAACTACGTTGTGTAGTTCTTGACTTTTGGGGGGTTGAGATTTCACAGTCATGCAGTGGATATTTGGGAGTCTCTGCGTGTTTTGTGAATGTAGTTCTTGTCTTTTACAGCTATTCTGAAAACAACCAAGACATCTTTTACCATGGATTATTTGCCTCTTAGAAACCTGTTTTCTTTATTAGGTGATAACAGCTGAGGTGTAAAAGCAATGTCACATAATCTAAAATAATTTTTAAAATAGCTAATTATGGGAGATAATATTGCCTCCATCAATCAGTTTCTGTCCAAACTTACGGTGCCTACTACAGAATAGATCAGTTCAGAAAGAAAACGTTTTCCCTTGGGTCATGTAGTGTTATAAATGTTGAAAATGTTGGACTCGGTTGCATTTTTCTTACCTTCATTTGAAAGGCATCTTAATTTCATTTAGTGGAAGCTCCAGTATTGTTCTGTGGTTAAACTCTTAAAGCAGACTATAGTTACAGACTCGGTGTTTATCATTATACATGTTCCAGCTCCAGCCTTGCTACTATATATGCTGTATTGAGAGTAGAAATGAAAGGACCTTACCTATATTTGAGGGAAGAATGCAAGTTTCAGTTGTTGACTTCAACTATTCTGTGTTACAACTCATGAAGAAATATGCTCTTTTATTTGAGAAACAGAAACGTCAATGCTCATCATTTTGCATCCTTTTACCAGTCTGCGTAGGATGGTTATGTGTGTTAAACCAGCTCATATTCTACCTGACTGAAGTCCTCCAAGACAATCTCCAGTTAGCAAAGAATTTTCTTACTTGGGTTCAGAAGTAGGTTATATTGGCAATAAGGACAACTCGGAACTTTCCTAAATCCAACTGGAAGCTGTTGTATAAGTTTTGAAGGAATATCATAGTTTAAATGAAAGTACTTGTTTCATGAAGCAGTTGTCACAAATCTGAGTTTTGTCAGAAAATCAGAAAGCTTTTTCACTCTTTTAAATAGCGAATGCTTTGTTGCCACAAGTTCCTCCTTCTATCACTATAGCTAAATCCGCTGGACCAACAACACCTGTGAGGACAGGAACATCATATAAGACACCAACAGCTTTTGCAACTCCAGAGTATTATGGTAAGCATGTTACAGACAGTTTTGGTTTGTTTGGGTTTTTTTCTTTTATTTTTTTTCCCGTGAACATAAACATTTCCTTTTTTTCTTTTGTTTCCCTTCCCTAAACCATATTGATGCATTGTACATTTAATACAAGAAGTATTCTGTCTGGGGTGATTCTGATTTCCTTTATGCCGCTTGACAACTTTTCTAACTTGACTGAGTTCATCTGTCTGTCTTCTGATACATATCTTGGTAAATGAGAACATGATGGCCCTTCCATCTTCCCAGAAATCAATACATGCATGCTTAGAGACTTTCAATACTATTCAGTGGCTACTTTAAATCTGTGAAGGGAGTAGATCAGGCACTTCTTTTCCTGAACATCTCTTTTTGCACAGGACATAGATTTGAATTATTATTTGACAGTGACTGATAGTGCTCAACATAGTCGTGGTATCCTCCTAGCTATCTGATCAAACTGCCACCATTTAAATAGAAAAAAGTGTAATAGGGTAAACATAGCGGTTAGTTGGTAATTTGCCCTTTATAAAATCGGGAGTTAACTACAAGTTCAGACCTAAATCTCCTCAAAGTGGCAGACAGGAATGGGTTTGGAGGAGGGTGTGCTTAGAATTTTTGAGCCAAAATATGCAGTTCTAGGTATATTGTCATAAATGTCATTCTAATTTTCCTGGATTTATAGCAATACTGAAATTTTTATCTCCTTATAATGATCATGAACGCACTGTGTTCATGTCCTTAGTGCTCCTTAAAGCAAGCTGGATGCTAGATTTATTAAAAAATGCTTGTTGCGAATATATTATGTTTTGTCCATTGAGGCCCATTGTAGTGTTTGCACCTAAGGAGATTCTGTTCAGTATATTGGCTATTTAACACAACCCTGGTGTCACGGGTCCTGACTGCTTTAGCACATTTCTGTTCACCAGTGCATTTGCCTTCAATTTCCTTCAAATTTTGTCAGTTTGTACACTCTGGAGACAGAATTTGTGATTTCTCTGTCGCTATTTTTAGAGAGGTTCATGTGCCAAGGTAATAGTGCTATATGTTCTATGAACATGAAACAAGCTCCAATCTAAACAGCCAGTACAGTGCAAAAAGATCCTTTTTAAAAGGTCTAAAGAGCATTTTGCATATATTGCATGCACTGAATCCAGCAGCAGTGTTGAAGTCTGTCATTTTGATTATAACTATCTTTGTACTGGCAGGTAAGTATGGGGTTTACTTAGCATCACAGCCAAAATGGAGTCCTTAAAAGGAAAAGACAGATCTGGCAGCAAAGGTCTACCATGGAAGAGCTTTACCATGATTTAAAATGCCGAATGAACTGTTAAATGCTGCAGTTCTAACACTGAAACTTCGTATTTATTGCAAATTAAATTATAACTGTATTTCCCACAGTTGATGCAACTGTCTTCAGCTCAAGTCCTACATCAGAAACAGATTCTTCAGGCAAACCAAGGTACCAAGGTAGGATTTTAATAACTATAGTATTTTTACTTGGAGAAATATATGAAGACTGACCTATCTTGCATCAAATTTCTCTTGGTTATTCAAAGGTCAAAACTTTATTTGATTCTGTTTCACTTTGGTGTCAGATGAAAGGGCTGTATTTCAGACCATCAGCATATTCTTGACTAAATTTTACTTCTATTTTCTTCCCTGCTACAACCTCGTAGTTTACAGTCTTGCCCACAGACATGTTATGGGTCTTCTTGTATGCCAGCAGTAGTACAACTGCACACTGTTCACATTCCACCAAATCAAATTAAAATCTTTGTGGGCTTACAAGCATACCTGGAGAGGTATTGCCCCTACAGCAGTGCACGTCACCATAAGAGATATCTATCCATCATATATGCCTCAGCTCTAATTCCAGGCTGTGCATATTCAGATAGTCTAGTAATATGGTAACATGTACTAGACTAGATGATAAAGTAGTCAAGTTATTGCTGTTGCAGTAATCTAGAGAGTTTAGCAAGGTAAGGTGACAATAAGAAGTACTTTTGTACCAAAAGACTTTTCAGGTTTTTTTTCTTGGTCTAGTAAGAGACACTATGTTTCTGAAGACAGTGTCTTTCTTGCAAGAGCTTATTGTTTACATCCAGTAGAAGTTTTAGTTTTAGAACTAATGTGTTTGTCTTCAGTAATCTTCCTAATTCTGATGCAGAGTACCAGACATTTGCCTCAGAAGGTTTGTTTCAAGGTTTGGTCCTGTACCACTGAAAATGGTTACAATTTCGATAGTCACTTTAGAAACTGCAAGTTTAATGATGGTATGACTCTGGACTAAACTCATTACTCTTTCTGGTGAAACAAAGTGGTGGTGGGCATTACATCTTTGTATTAGCATAGCACTCAAAAGCTGCAAATGGAATTGTAGTGTCATTTTACTATAGCAGGACTAAAGTTATTTGTCCTATTCTATGACAGAAGTTAATTCTTTCAAACAGTGCGTATCACCCACTACTACCTTTAGAGTGATATTTCAGCAGGCATGCCAATGGGAAGAGGGTGAAGGCAATGCAGATTCCAGGTCTAACAACAATAAAAAAAAACAACAAGCAGCTTAATATTGAATATATGGGTTTTATTCTTAAACATTTGTGTTTGACTTTGACTTGTGCAGATTTTTTACTTGGTACCCTGAGATGGAAGTTGTGCACTAGGTGAGAAGGTGTTGACATTTTGTAAAAACACTCTGTACTGAGTAACAGCTCTTTCCTATTGCTCTTAGCCCCTCATGTCAAATACATGAAGAAAGATGATGATGTGCCTTGCTCAATCACAAGCTCTCTTGAACATTTTCCTCAAGAAGAAGGTGGCAGCAAGGAAGAACCTACTCGTCCTCCACAAAATCCTCCAACTAACCTCACAGTGGTGACTGTTGAGGGCTGTCCAACTTTCGTCATATTGGACTGGGAAAAACCAGACAATGACACTGTTACTGGTTGGTTGTGATTTCTTTCCTCCATTGTATCAGAATCCAGTATTTCCAGTTTACGTTCACAGTGGGTTTATGGCATTTAAAAAATACTTTAATCCCAAGGGAGCCTTACACCCCAGTGCTTTTATTCTGTGCTAGTGTCAACTCCAGTGTGGATAAGAAAATGCTACTGGATTAGAATGAGATTTTCACAACTATATCATTGGTGTCAGTGATGACCCAAAAAGATATTTAAGAAGTATGACCCTCTATCTTCTCTTAATTTCTGGGTTCTCTGTGTACAGGATCTGGTATGATCTAGCCATGAAGTTCCAGCAATGCAATAGTAGTCTTTATTATATAGATAAGTATGCATAATGTAGACATCTTTCTTGACTTGAGGATGTTGTTGATCAGTGAACCAGACACAATGAAGCCTTACATCCATCCAGTAAGTCAGTAGAACTCTGCCAGCATAATACTTGCTGTAAACACTATGGAGTCACTAAGTTCTGTATGCTAAAAGAATCTATTTGGTTTTTTCATTTCCAGAGGAAGGTTTTTGTATTGAGAATAAATCCTTGTGAGTCATGCAGGAATCAGTACATAGACAGGATTTTTCTGTCATCTTCTGTATTATCAACACAAGCTTACCAAAAACCATTTACATTAATTAACAACTGAAAATTATGGTTCTTCTGCACTGTCAGGAAAATGGCTTTTGTTTTTACCATGAACATAAAACTGATTTGCAAAATCATGGGCTCATCAAAGCCATGGCCAAATGGATTTGGCTGTGTTGCATTACAGGTGAATAGAACTGATAAGACTAGAAACTGTGAGGATCCCAGAGGTCTCTTCCAGCCAAATAGATTCTGTGATTTTGTGACTAAGACTTGATCATTAGCCATTCACTTTACCATGCAAGTGGGATGTTTTCAGATGTTGTGTAGCCATGTCATGAGAGATTTCAGTGGAGGGGTATAATTAAGTGACTGTCACAAGCAAGACCATTCTCTTCCCCAAATTAGTCCTTCCTTGTTTTTCTAGGAGTAATTACTAGATTTAACCTCTATTCTTTCTTGCTCTCCCTGCCATTTTGAAAAATAATAAATGCAAAACCAAAGGGACACTCAAAAATTAGCCTGCACTTTTTTCTTCTGGGAAAGAGGAAGAAAGTTAGCCCTTTTGCTGTATTAAAGGGAGAATAAAAAGAGACTGTAGTCTAATAAAAAGTACCAACAAGAAAGAAGAATGATTACCTGGCTTGCTTTCCAGGATCTGCTTTGTCCTGGAAGAAAAGGAGGTGTGAGCTTATTGCTAACCCTAGAATTGGGCTGAGGATAGGCTCTCTGTGAACACTCCCCATTTCAGGCAGTTCTGCAATGCTTCTTTTTGTTCAGAGAAAAGCCTTTTTGTTGCTGTTGTCATTTGAAGGCCTCGTTCACAAACTAGTCTTTAGCTTAGATCAGATAGCATCATTTGGTCTGCATGTTTTCTTGGAAGCAGACCTACTGTTTTTCTTGAGTATGTTAATGAACCCACTGCAGCACAACCTTTTGTATTGCAAAAATAGAAAAACATTTCCACTATAGCTGGTAAAACTGTCAGTGCACGTCATCTAATGATGAGAGCAAGGCCTAATTGCCTTCTGATGCTATTTCCTTTCTTTTTCAATGCATGTTGTGAAATACGGAGCAAGCAATACTCGCTGTTTCTTCTGAGACTTTAGGTGGAAACCCTTTCTCTGTTCAGTTGTAATCAGCATTTGTAGAAGTTAACTTTCCATGAAGTTTCTTCTCTTCTATAAGACTATTCTGTGATAACTGAGACACCTGGCATACCCTTCCCCATTCTAGAAGAGAAGATTAAAACCTCTGCAGAATATGACTAATACTCATTTTGCTTCACTGAGAGAAACTTTAGTCTTCAATCTAGCTATCTTCCTATCTAGAGGTAATAGCTCTCCGATAAATGCCATCTTCATTCTTTTTAACTTCAGTGTGTAATACAAAATGTTTGAACTCTGTGGCTTACAAATACTCTCATAGAACTTGCCTCCTTCATCTTAACTTCAAAAAATAACTCAGTTAATGACTCATCCAAGGACACTTTCTGAATTCAAGAGAAGGCATTGAATCCTATTTTCTGAAAACAGCAATTACTTCATACTGGCACCAGTATGACATTACTTGTTTAGACAGACTTAAATCAAGTTTTCTGTCATCTCTTTTTATTTTTGTAGTTTATACATGTTTTTTCAATCATCTGATTTAGGCATCACGTATTTTTATTATTTTTTTTAATGCACTGTTTCAGATAGAACTATGGAAACAGAAAATGTAATTTGTTGAGCCATTTTTTTGAAACATATACTTTGCTTGACTTTTAGCTTTGCACAAGGGGTTTCATTGGATTGGGTATTGTATTCCTAGAAACGAAATTGTACTTCAGTAATGGAAAGGTCTGACAAGTAATAACCAAAACAGTGATCAAGCTTACCTCCTTGTTTTCATAAAGTCTGCAAATGTCAGGAACCAAGACTGTTTTGCTGGTGCTCTGCTACTCCTGTTGTGTTGCCACAGAAATATAAGGCAGTTTGTTGTCTTGTGCACTGAGACTCATGCACTGAGTAGCAAGCAGGTACTGGATGCTCTTAGTAGTTCTTTGTGTGTGTGTGCGTGCGTGCACGTTTGCATGCCCATTCATATGTCCTGTGTTTTCTTTTCCAACTTGAATGAATTAAAAAGTTCAAATCACATATTGACTTGAGGCTGGCAGAAGGCAGAAAGATTGAATTCCTGTGAAGTTATCTACTCATTCTCTATCTGGATGTACTTAAGGCAGTGGATATCCACTCTCTCTCCCATGCTTCCTAATAAACATAATTTCTCTAATGAGGCTTAATTGAGGCAAATAAGAGCTTTTGCATGTTTATTTTCTCCATGGTTCACTCAGACCTTGGTGGCTGTATAGGAAAGGGTCTTGTTTCCAGAAAGGAAATGCATAGAGAGAAAACACAGATATGTTTTACACAAATACATACTAACTATCAATGCTAATGTATTTGGTCTTTGCATTGGGTCCCACTTGAACAAGTGATCTCAAGTAAAAGTCCTCTATTTACTTTTTCTTTTTCCTCCCCACTCCCTCCACCCATTCGTGCAGGTCTATGAGTTTGTTTTTAGAAGGCAGTGCTTGGTCTTTTCCTGTTCATGGGTGACTGTTGTGGAGGAGGAATTCTGAACACAGAAATTTTGAAATTTTCAGTATTGACAGTAATTCCTTCTTTCATGCTGACTTTCTGACATACTTTTAAACCTATTTTGAAGTTTTTTCTTGCTCTGTATATGCTCTAAACAACTGAGTCTATTACAAGGTAGTGATAAAAAGATCCTGTGTAGAGGTCCCTTTTGAAACTATTGCAGTAAATCTGAAATTCACATGTGCATACATGTATATAATTGCTCAGATGGAATTGCTGTGGTTTAGAAGCTTGGAATTTTAGAACATAATTTTTGAGGGCTGCTCTACACTTCCACTTAATTGCATTGTCTTACATAATTTACCCCAGTGGTTTTGATGGCTGCTTTTTGCATAAAAGAGTGCAAAGGAAGCCATAGTTGCACAATTGAGGTCAAAATCAAGTTAGTTTGTATATATGGTCATTTACATACACATCTCCTACATTTACTAGGAGTGAGGATCTAAGAATCCAGCAACAATTAAGACTTTTTTTTTCCTTTTTAACACTGAATCCCATTGCAGGTGTTTTATCTTTCTGTGTTGACAACAAATGGGTCTCCTTGTATTGAGAGCTAAAAAATTTAGGGGAAAAAAAACCCCTCTAACCTGATAGCATTTAGTTAAGAACTCAAAAATTAATATTATCATTAGAAAAAAAAACAGGAAAGAAAGTAGTTTCGTAGAGATTTTGTAGCTGTTGATAGGTGGTATCTGTCTTTGTCCTCGCAGTATAATACCTGCTTTATTCATTGTGCTCTAGATCTAAATGCTCACTGTAAACGTTCTTTGAGAATATTCTCCTTTGCTAGCTTACAGTTACAAATTTGCTAGCTTATCAAAGCTGCACTTGGTATTATAAACAGGTTTTAGGAAGGGAAAAGGAAAGGACTAGGGAGGTTGTGAATTTCTTTGCAAAGAGAGGGAAATTAGCAATATAGTCAGTGTGTTTATTAGAAGAGGTTGTTACGAATCAGGACAGAGGTTGCCTGCTAGAGAGAGACTCTATCTTGGACAAGGCTGTGACTGAAGGGGTATCTTCTTCCCAAACATCTGTTGTTAATTCCCTGTTCAGAGCATGGCTTGTGCTTGATGATACATCTCAGAGAAATGAAAAGAAAGTAGTGAGACTCTATAAATCATATAAATACAGAAATAAATTTATGCAAAATTATTTCATTCTAAACTGGCAGATTCCCTAAGTGCACAATCCAAGTTAGTTGGGCAGTTTCCTTTGGATATCTTAAAAATATAGGCCTTATTTTAAGTTAATCAAGGTTTAAGCATTTAGAAACTGTACTTTCATCTATGATACTTTTTCATTCAAACTGCAGAACGTTTATAGTTATTTGTGTTTGGAATTTTGTCACTAGTGTACCTTTGGGCAGAGGTAAGATGTTGAGTATCCTTTATCCCATAATTGAATTATGACGAAGGATGAGGGGCTAGGCACTCAGCAATCTAGAATGGGATCTCTCAATCCTAACCATTTCAGCATACTAATGTCCACACTGGTTCACACAAGATGTCCTTACAACCTATTAGGCAGTAGGAGTGGAAATCAGGTGAAAAAAGAGAGAGCAATGAAGAAGCTCAAGTAAGAGCTATTATTTAAGCAAATTTTTCTTTACTGTAATTTTCCAGAGTATGAGGTTGTGTCAACTGAAAATGGAGCAAGTGATGGTGAAAAAGAGAAATCGATTATCACTACAAATCAAACCCATTCTACTGTGGAAAACCTAAAACCTGACACAAGGTAATTAAATAAATTAATTTTCTAAGTTAATCCAACTAATTTAGGCTGTCAGCTGTCTGCTACTTCAAATGAAAATACATATGTATGTAAGACCAAAATGGTTTACTCCTGTTCTGATAGGAAAAAGGTATGCTTTGATTTGCTTTCTTTTAAGTTAACCGATAAGACACATCTGAGGATTCTTTAGGAAATTTCCAAGAGTATTTGTGGTCTGGACAAACTGCAGAAGTGACCTGTTCTATCAGAGGAATTAACAGTCAAATGTAAGAAAATGTACTGCTTTTTATCAAAAAATATCTCAAATTCAGCAGATAAAGGAAAAAGGTGAATACAAGAAATATTAACCTGATATGTGAGAGATCAAGATTTACATGTATAGTTGTCTCTCTCTGGGGTTTAAGCATGCTCAGCACAACTGACATAGGCTGCCTTCTTATTTAAATGGATGTTTGTTCAAATACTGGAATGCAAGTTGGGCCACTGTACAAAACTTGACTATTGCATTGCACCATGGAGGGGAAAGATACATTTGTCTTGTATATGTAGTTTTCTTTCAGTGTCTCAAAACAGCTGACAAGTTAAAAATGGCTCAGTGAATTCCAGTTAATGGTATACATCTAATGCAAGTAGTCCAAATAAGCATTATCATTCTTTTAGAAAAAAATCTCATCAAAAATGAGATGTTCTTTTTTGTGGTAAAATTCGGGGCAGGGAAGAAAACCACTCGTCTTTTGTTTGTGTTGTTTATTGATTGCATCAGAAAGTTAATGAATGAGACTTTTTTTCCTGCAAGACCATCCATTTGGCTTTGGTAACTAGATTTTTCTAGTTTCAGATAAACTGCCCTTTTCTATTATTATCCTTAAATTGGTAACACAGCACAAAATTCTGCATAGAACCCATCTTGAACCTTTATTTTTAAGCAATGTGTGGTTTAATCTGGGGTGTTGGCTCTTAGCTCACCTACTTGTGACCAGCAGCTCCTAGGAGGGGAAATGAGGAACTATTGCAGAAAGTGGAGGGGAAGGGAAGAGAATTGGAAAAGAAAGGCTTGGGGAAACTGTGGTACCCAAAAAGAACTTCTTTGCGGTCTCCAAGACTCGTAAGATGGGCTAGAATTGCTGTGTATAGCATCAAGAATATCTGTTATTTCTTAAAGGTATGTGGCTTGTGAAATCGTTAACTGCAGCTATGTTCTGTCTTGTTAAGAGGCAATTAGAATACATTAGCAATGCAACTGGAGACCAAGCATCAGTTTCTGCAATCTCTTCCTCAATCAGTTGAGAAGGCTCAGAAGAGACAGCAAAACAACGTATTTCTGGAGTAGCGACTAAGAAAGGCAGTAGGTGCTGCTAAACTTGTCAGGCTATGCTGTTTGTGTTTTCATTTCAGTTCTGCTTTGAAATAATTTAGTTGCATCCTTGAAAAGAACTGTGTGTTATTGATGAGATTCTTTCCCATTACATACTTGAACTCTTTATGTCACCTATGGTGACAGAAATAGGATGGATTTGGTTAAGTGTAGAAAAGACATGGAAGCAAAGAGATGGCCTTGGTGCTGAGAGCAATGCCTAGATGGGCAAAAGTGAAAAGCATTTTTAGACTGCTCTTTGTTCAGAAAGGAAGCAGGATGGAGGTAGGCAGACCCAGCTAGAACCATTGGAAAGGTCATAAGGAAGGCAGGAGCTACACAGAAGCAGGTAAGATGTTTTCTAACTTTAATTAGTAACAATTCTGTCAATCCTATGAGAAAATTTTGGTAAGCAAGAGCAGACCGAAGACCATGGAGAAAAGCTGCCTTTTGGAGCATGGATTTTTTTACAAGAAGCTAGATAGGAGATCAGTACTGACTGGTGGGAGCTGACTTAAGACATAAAGGGATAACTTTCCCTGATGGGATGGTGGCTATTATCCACGTGCCGCCTGCCCCCACCCCCGCCCCGGGCAAAGGGAAAGACAGTGAAAGTCTTTCTGGATTCAGGAGGCCATCACCTGAAATTGAAAACCTTTGATATAAATTGGAGTGATGTGTGTCCCTCGAGTCTCACAGGATTTGGAGGACATAAAGTCCTTCCCAGAGTTGCTCTGTTTCATTAAACTCCCATTTCAAAATAATGTGTTTCATAGTTTTGAGGACACCTTGAGAGCTTTGGCAGAAGCACAAGAAATTGTTACTGTTACCATTTGAATCCAGGCTTGTTGGCACACTAAATTCAGGGAAAATAAGAAAGTGATTAAGACAGCTGGCATCACGTAGACAGGATCAATGTTGCAAGGAATGGCACGTGTCCATCATAAAAGTCTCCTGTCTGTGAGAAGTTGATTGCTCACTAGATGAAGAAAATGGACCTGTGGACAAAAGTGACTGAAAATAGGAGGAAGAGAGACAATGAAACACAGGTCCATAGATTAATTAACAGTGTCCCTGAAATGTCTGCAAGTTCATCAAGTAATACATTAAGACTGGGGAACAGATTTTTCCATAACTAGACTTAAAGGAAAGAGCTGTAGAAGAGGTGGAGCTGGAAAAGAAACTTGGAAGAGAAAAAGAAATCCCTCTTGCAAATGATCAACATTTACAAAACTACCAGCAAGTATATGGAAAGAGAGATGCTCAGTAGCAGAAGGTGGATTAACTGGAGAAGAACCTCTTGGCCTTGAAATGCTTTGGAGAAGGTGACAAGCTGAACTTGAGAGACTTTTTTTATGGCTTTCCTGAAGCCATCGGTGAGGCTGTGTGAATCCCCTATGCTGCCCTGAAGGTTCAGTACATCCAGAGCTGAAGACAGTTCAGGATGGATCTAAACTAGACAGACCTAAACAAAGACATTCCAAAAGGAACAAAAATGTTTGTGAATATGGTATCTCAGTCTCCATGAGTAAATTTAAACCAGAAGGATCCTATAGCAGCAAGACAGTTCAAGCCTGAAGTTCTCCAGGTGTGTGCTCTTGAAGAGCAGTACATGACAAAGATGGTCTGCAGTCATGTTGCCCAAGGTCTGTCATCCTGTTGAGGTAAATCAGGTAGGATATGTTAGTGCCTGGCCCAGAAGCTGAAGAGTTAATTGGCCACATTCAGCAAGAGGGAAGCAAGACAAACAGCTCTTCAGTGTGAAAGGGGCAGAACAAGCAGCAGGGACAAACTGGGTGCATCCGAGCCTGCCAGATCATGCTGTTTGTTTGCTTTTCCTTCTACATTCTTCTTTCAAACAGGTCATACTGCTACACCTCTGGGAAGCTCTGCAGTAAGCCAGACACCCGTCTTCTTTGAGCTGGCCTTTTGACAAGGCAGCTTTTAAAAATTAGGAGCTAATGGCCAGACTTTGAATATTTTAAAAATTTGGACAGTGTTAGGGAGGCAGCAATGAGAGACTCTTACAGCCTCTCAAGAAAAATTGCATGTGTGACTGCACTGTCAGTAAGTACAAATATAGAAGTTAAATGGCATACAAATTTCCCTGAATCAGAGGATTATCACGTAGTGTTCTGTGTGTCCACTTAGCTGTCTGAAAAGCAACTAGATCCAGAAAAAAAAGCACTGACTGAAAAAGAAAAGTAGTTCTGATTTTCAGTACGCTTGTCAAGTATTTGGTTTTAACAGACTCATACCATGCTAATATGGAAATTAAAATGAACTTTCATAGGCATACAACAACTTGTGAGGGTTGCTTTTAAACAATAAAGTTGTATATAATATGGCAGTTTGTCATATCTCTTGTTTGTCTTATAATACATAGGCCAGCTTTGTGTGTTCTTGGTGACTTGATTGCAAGACATCGAGAGTCTGAGATGAAAGTAAAATAGTGGTTTGAAAATCTGTCTTAAGTCTGAGGACATACATCCTTTAAATAAACATGGGGCACAGTCAGCTGCTTTCCAACACAACTGATTTTTTTTTAAAAGAAAAAAATGGTCTCAGGGCTCCTGTACAATGTGATCTGTTGGAGTGCTGAGATCCTTATGTTTTTTGCCCAAGAAAAGGCACATTGTATCCATGCCATTCTCTCACAGTAACACATGCCTAACAGTTGACAACATCACATTCATTTAAAGGATTTTTCCTTATAGGTTGAGTACATTGACCTCTTTTTCCACTGCAGAATCACCAAATACGGTGTTTGCAGTATTTCGCTATCACATCTTAGAAAACTTCTGATAGTTTAAGTAACCTGGAAAGTTCAGATCTTGATATCCATTATTTGGTTGGTCAGAGTTCTTGAAACTGCTACTGTTCCTGGCACTAAGCTGCTGTCTGGGTCCAGTCTAGAATTCTGTTTAATTTCATCAGATATTTTGCTTTTCATTGTAACTTTTACCTGAAATCTCTCAAAGCATGTAGTGTGGTTATGCTGTGTGAGCTAGGCAACTATGTATATCCTTCTTATACAGAGAGTTAATTGGATATAACAGGTGCCTGAAGAGGAAAACTTTCTCTTATTTTATGAATGTCTTCTGCCTAAACGTTTCTGTTATAAATGTGCTTCTGTCATCTAATAATCATATATACACAGCTGTTGATTACAACTTTGTAGTGTAGTTAGCTTTTGTTACCCTTTACATTATTTCCAAGTATTTGAGAGCAGATCCAGGTCACATTTCACTCTGCCCTCTTTTCGGTATCACGCTTAAACACACACTGAATTTTCTGCAGTTTTTGCCATCTTTGTCCTTCAATTAGTCCTTCACTGGTTAAACAAGTGCAATAGCCAAATTCTATTCATCCTTCCTTCTTCTGGTTAGTTTGAACCAAATACTGAGCTACTCAGTTTTTACTCTGTTGTTCAAGCAGTGAGTGTTGGTAACTACTGTGCTTCTTGATGGACCCTGAGCAACCTGATACAGCTTTTAAGTCGGTCCTGTCATGAAAAGGGGCCTGGACCAGATGACCTTCGTAGGTCCCTTCCAACCTAAATTACTGTATGATTGTAGGACTAGTTTCTGATTTTGTCAATCTCAAATTCACTCATATTCTTTAATGAAGGCTGAGATGGCTTTATATG